TTCACCACAAGGTGCAAACAAGGCCAGATTAGACTTTGCAAAAAAAAAAAAAAACATCTAAAAAAGCCAGAGCACTTCTGGAAAAGCATTCTTTGGATGGCTAGAATTAAGATCAACCTGCACCAGAATGACAGGAAGAAAAAAGTATGGAGAAGGCTTGGAACAGCTCATGATCCAAAGCATACAACATCATCTGTGAAACATGGTGGAGCAGTGTAATGGCATGAGCATGTATGGCTTCCAGTGGCACTGGGTTACTGGCGTTTTTTGATGATGTGACAGAGAACAGAAGCAGCCGCCAGTAAAGGCCTGGCAAAGCATCACAAAGGAGGAAACCCAGTCTTTGGTGATGTCCATGCATTCCAGACTTAAGGCAGTCATTGCCCACAAAGGATTCTCAACAAAATATTAAAACTGAACATTTTATTTATGATTATAATTTTGTCCAATTACATTTGAGCCCCTGAAAATGGGGGGACTGTGTATAAAAATGGTTGTAATTCCTAAGCTTTTTATGTTATATTTTTGTTCAGCCCCTTGAATTAAAGCTTAAAGTCTGCACTTCAATTTCATCTTTATTGTTTCATTTTAATTCTATTCTGGTGGCATACAGAGCAAAAATTATGAAAATTGTGTCAGTGTCCAAATATATATAGACCTAACTGTAGCTGCTAGCAGCAATACGGGGCCAAGCCCCGAAGGTATAGCATTTTGAAGGAGGAGTAGCGAAAAAACGGAATACTGTACTTTTAAAAATGGCTTCTACTGTAATGGGCAAAGTTTTAATGTAAGCTATAGAAATTTTTTAAATATTGGGTACAGAAACCAAATGAGTGTGTTTAATGTTAGTTGGTTAACTTCATTTATCAAATAGATACAGTCAAACCAAAATGTATTCAGACACCTTCAACATTTCTCACATTATCACAGTTTATTCGCTATAGTTTAGAAAATGGTAATAAAATATGACAAGAACTCAGAGTTAAACTGTGTCTGAACAAATTCAGCTTGATAATGTCAGATAACTTTGATAGAAAGGTATGTAATAGATTACAATCAACCAAAAAATATTCAGACAGCTGTTAGTATGACAGTATTTACACAACTATCAATACTTAGTCAGGCAACCCTTAGCCTTAATGACAGCCCTGTAGTCCCCTGGGCATGCTGTCACCCAGCTTCATGAAAACCTCAACTTCAGTTTTTTTCCCAGACTCGGTCTGAATAATTTTTGGACCCAAATTTGTATCAATTTTACTGGTAGTCCACTGTATGAAGAAATTTTGGGTATAATTTGTCACAGTTTACTTTAATTTTGCAATCCTCACTTACATAAATTAACTATAGTGTCCTGCACCCACTAGTAAAAAAATATCAAAAATTATATCTGGTCTCTGAATCATTTTTGGTTTCACTGTATATCCTTCGGTTATTTTCACACTTAATTATGCCCATTAAATGTATTTTACAAGTTTTTGTTACTTTCACGGTTCATTTTTTTGCTGTAATACTGCAGGGAACCACTCGTTATAAATCTCCTAACTGTGATATTTTCAGAAATAGAAGTCGCGTTTTTTCATCTGAAACGTGCTGCGATTTATATTCCAAAGCCACTCATATAATGCAGAAACACTCATGAAGCAAGCAAAACACG